GACAACAGTGAAGATGGCAAATTGCTGACTGTTCCATGTGGTCAGCAATTCATCCCTCCTCCCCCCTCAGGACTTCAATGCCAGTCAGTGCTGAGGGGTGGGGCTGCTGAAGTACATCTGCAAGATGTCCATAGTATTTGCTCTTTATACCACGATCAACTTCCCAAAATTGGTAAGTCTAACCAAGATTTATGTAGCCCTCTAGCTATAAGGTATTAGCTGGGTAAGAAGTCCATCAATCACAGAAAGAATAGTCAAGATTGGATCAGAAGCTAACAAGATACCAAATAATTTGTGGGACTTCTCTCTCATTGTTATCTCTTTTTCCAGAGTCTCTAGAGTTTACACAAGAAGAATGGACTTGAAGTTGTCAGGTGCTAATACTGATGTTGTTGAGAATACCAATTTATGACGAAGTGAATACAAGAGAGGCTTTGGTAATGATATGAGGCCCTGCTGTTGCTCTGTTCTTGGAACTGGTTACTCCAGATACTCCAGAAACAGACACTAATGGGGAGAGTGATCTCTTCTCTTTCTTGAGTGTGCAAAGAACAGCTGTTTGACACATAAGATGGTGCACTCTGGTGAAACCTTGGTGATATATGATCTGGATACCACAGGTTTCCTGGGTGTTGGTGCAAGTGCTGCTAAACTGGTGATGGCTACGTTTAATAAAGGAAGTAGAACCTTTCCATGGTGACTGACTTCATGACAGCCTGTTTTCTTATTGAAGGTAGGGAGAATGCGTGCTCCAGAGGTGGAGAAGAGGACTAGTTCTAGCTCCACCTGTAGAGAAGAAGAATACTGTAGTTTGCCTCCAAGTGCTTTTTGTAGCTTCTGTTGAGAGTAGCGGGTACTTTGGCACTGAAGACTGTTTCAGTTCACTGTGTCGGTGTCAATGCAAAGGGTGAATCATCAAACTGGTATCTTGGATCAGAAGGATATTCTCCTTAACCTAAGCAGTCTGTGGGCCCTAAGTGGATGTATCTCAGGAAGTTCTGTGTTCTTATCGGGAGAACACCGTGCCGCTTCTGGAGTTTCTATCTCTGCATTCAGAGTAGTCCCCCTAAATTCTGTACTTTGACACTGGAAGTATTAGAGCTTATTTCAATGTTGTTGATGTCAAGTCTGTTTCAGTGCTGGCGTATCACTGGCTAGTCCTTCCCCCAAGCCTTTTCGTTTCTACCACTCTTCAGTGCAACTTATTTGCAAGCTGGGACTATAGATGATGCTGACTTGTCCACAAACAGGATCTTGGAGCTAGTGTACTCAAGGTCCAAACAAATGTTACCTTAAGATTGCTGAAAAAAATGGAGTTTCAGTTTCACATCTCATGACTTACATATCCAAGTGAAGTCATGCTGAATGTTAGCTCAGTATGTGCAACTCTCCTGGACAGAATAGGCATGTCAGATTTAATTTGTAAGTGAGTGGTCCATTATAAGATCCAGAGGGCTCGAAGCCCACAGGTTTAGAGTTGGTTAAGGAGCCCACAAGTCCTAGACATGCAAAGTGCAGCAATTTGTACTTTATCTAAACAGGTTGAAATGATCATGGTGGTACAAAAATTAAGGCTATCAGGAGAGTTCTAAAGCTATTTAGAAGATTTACCAGAATGTTTAGCCAAAGCTAGTGGGCTGGACACTTACCACATTCCCCAATACTGCCAAAAGCAATAAGAAGGAACAGAGGGAGAGTTGCAGCTACCCCATTCTTTATAGTCTCACACAGGAGCACAAGGTGAAACAGGCTGCATGCATAGGCCTGGTGGACATTGTTTCTCAGAGAAATTCTGGGCTTGTATGCATGAGGCAGAAGTGTGGCTACAGCAAGTTCCTTCTTTTTTGAAGAACTGACATTTTACTACCTCTGAAATTAATCATTGTACTATAAAGTGTAACCAAATCATTTATTGTGCCTAACTTAGAAAAAGCATTGGGCTTTGTCCTTTTGTAATGGAAAGTATTGCTTTTTTCTGGGAATTTTAGTTATGATCTCATATGCTTCAGTAAGCAAAGACTCAAGTAAGTGCTGCTAGCCACAGATAATCACTCCAAAGTAATGAACAATTGAAAGCATGTATGAGACTCCAACTCTGTAAAGAAAATTATTTTCATAATATGGTATTAAAATGGCATATTAGAAATAACAATAGGTGTTTAATGAGCTGAAACAATATATCACCCATAAAGGCATGACAGTATTATAAACTGACATTTTATCAACCATATAAATACACACTCTTTTGTGTACCAAAAGCAGCTGTTTTTCCTATAAATTCAATGGCAAAAGTAATTCAAATGAAAGAAAAGAGGAACCCTGAATAGAGATAAATGGATTGATACTCTCCTAGACGCACACAATCTGATATGGGCATCCACAGAACATGGGAAAATTGTTGGCAATATGACAAACTAAGTTCTTTGTTAGAATACTTTAGAAAAGTGCATTGCCACTTACTTGGCATTTCAACTTAGGCCAGAAAAGTTCCACACCACACAACAATCGGAATGAGCATTTTCAGCTGCCATACAGATATATTTAAATATAATATTAGGGACAAATCCTTCCATCATTCCTTGTCTACATGTTCCACTTGCTATATTGGGAGTTGAATATGCACAGTTTAAACAGGAGCATGGGCATTCACATCTCATTGCCTATCCAACCTTCAACTAAAATAAGTACTTCTGTTTTATTGCAAAAGCATGACTCTACCATTTGAGGGCAAAATTCTCTCATGTGCAGAATGCTGCCCGGTGAAGGTGAATAAGCTTTCAGGACACTGTTTACAGTTCCTGATTTTCTAGTTTTGCCAGCCTAGTGTATTAAGTCAGATTGAGGGTTATCTGACATTAGTATCCAAAGGGCTAAACTCCTGTTACTAACTGGTATTAACTGAAGTGAAATCTGATGTGTCCCTCTCCCAGCACAGTACTGCTGTCAAGGTGGAGTGCAGTTAGCATAGGAGCCAGCTGAGATGGTGGGTTGTCTGAGAAATATCCCTGCCAAAAGAATTCTGCTGTGGCCAGATTCCTGAGTGCCCCCAGAATAAAAAGGATGTACCTGGATCAAAGAATCTGACCCGTTGGTGTTTGCAAAGTTTCAGCAAGGCTATCTGTGCCCTAGGAGGGTGCTGAGAAAGCACAATTCTTTCTTTCCTTTTTAGGAAGATAGAAGTTTGCATGGACAACTGGCATATTATTATGTCCCAATGCACTGTGTGCTAGTTGGTGCATCTGTAGGAAAGTGGACCCATAACTTCCCATTCCCCCTCATGTCTGGCGCAGAGCTGTGGAGAGGCCAATGACACGTGTTTTTCTCTCCTGCAGCATATCTATGTAACATCACAGGGTGGGGATTCCTTTTGGGTTTCTACATTGTAAGAAGCTATCAATCACATTCTATTTCCTCTGAGTAAAAGTAGGACTTTTACTAGGAGTAAAAGTCACCAGAAAGCACAATGAAATTTGATTAAATAAATCTGGGGCCTAAATTGTTTTAGTTTGATTCAGCGCAATTAAAAGGCTCAGTTTTCATGGCTGATAATGTTTTCTTTTATCTTTCTTTAATGAAGACACTTTTCAAAAGTTTATGTATGAAATGGAAGAAAAGGAGCTCTACTGTATCTAAAATGATAAGAGTTTCCTGGCATTAATACAGCATACAGTATGCCAGGCTTAATACAGCACTATCTACTACAGAAATAATGAAGCATAACCAGGGGAGCATAAAATAATTCAGTAGTCTATTTGCAGTTTCTTTCTTACTGAAAGATGATACCAGTGCAGAGGGTGTGCTCCTATGATCTTTATACAAACAAAAGGCTTGCTGACTTCAATGCATGTTTTGTGTGTATAAGAATTATGGGCTGGACTTAGAACTCTGTGTTGCTCATGTAACAACCCGTACAGTTCACAACAGACACCCGTTTTTTATTCTAATTCCCTCTTTTTGTCATGCATAGCTTCCAGAAAAATTCTTCAAAATGGAAATGTGCCTGTTTCACTTCAAATACTATTATTATTATTAGGAAAATGGGAGGAAGTTCAGCATTTGCAAATTACTAGTATTTGAGAGAGAAATATTAGTCAGATTTCTTTTTTTTTTGGCACACCTGTAGTTTGCAGCAGCTGAAGCAGGCCCTTCTCCCTAGTACACAGCTAATCTTTCATCAACAAGAAAAGGGGGTTGCCAAAGAAGAAAAACATAATTAAATTCTAAGCTAACAAAAAACTTTGCTGCTGAGAATACAAGTGAATCATGGAAGAAGACCCTGGTGCCTGCCTAACTCCACTAAAGCCAATGGCACTCTCTTTGGGTCCATCAAAGCATACATGCTTATAGGATGGGTGCCCATCTATCTAATTTCTGCAGATCCAAAGGAAGCCTCTCCTACTACATGCCAAGGCATGGGGAAAATTTACCCCAATCCAAATAAAAAAAACAGATTGAAACTCTCTTGTCTCCGGTGGAATGAGAATCCTACTGAAGATGTAAAGAGCAAAATACTTTTAATTCAATACCTGAGATGCATGGGTGGATCCAGGATCTCCTAAAGTGGGGTGTGACACACCACCTCACAGACTGTGGGAGATGAGTGCAAGGCATGGCTGGAGCCCTCCATGCTGGAGGGAGGAACCTACACGCTACTGTCACTCTCCCTGCCTCAGCCTGGCTCTCTGCACAGCTGCTCCCTTCAGTGTGGGACAAGAGGGAATCATGATCAGCCTTGGGGCTCTTCCCATGCGTGCATTAGCCAAGGATAGTAGCACACGTGTTCCTTCTTCCAGGGCCTGCTCCCAGACACTGGGAAATGCAGTGAGGGAAAATGGGAGTGCAGAGGGCAGACACTGAAAGAGAAAACCTATATGCCGCTGCCAGAGTCTGTGGCAACTGAGCTGTGATGGAGACTCTCTCAATACTTTATATGACATCTCTTTTTCAAAGAGGGAAGAGGTAAACTGTTCAAGGATTATTTTCCATGCAGATTAACTTACTTTTTGAGATGAATCATTAGATATCTAAGTGTCTCATAGTGTGCAGCTGGAAGTAACATCAACACTTCATGGATTGCTTCTAGCCGTTCATCAGGATTAGAGATTTCTATGAAACACAAAGCAGGATTAATATAGCTATAGTTTTGCACATGTAAATACGCAATACAGCTAGAATACTGCTATGGAATCATTTACAGGAAAAATAATATACTCTAGTTCTTAAATGTGCTTGTGAGAATACATTTTAAACATACAAACTGAGATGATAACAGCTATGTTTGCATCCTTGGAAAAGTAGTCTTAATCTGTAAAGTGATCAGCAACTCAGACTTTGTGTAATTTCAAGTTATTTTCATGCCTGCCTGCAGCACCTGAGCTACCTTTTATAGTGTTTTTAATATTCTGACTTGAGAGATTTTAGTCTCGGGTTTTATGTGGTACTACCTGTCAAGGAAAATGTAATCCTACTTCCAGAGGCAGTAGTCAAATATACAAAACTATACTGAAAATTCAGTAGTTGGGTTGAAATGAAATAACACTGAAAACAGAATGTGACTCCTGATCATGTTCAAATTTTTAGAGAACAGTGAAATGAGGATTGCTGTGTAGGTAACATAGTAGCTAGCAACATCAGAATATCTGATCGCAAGCTATATATTCTGTAAGAAAATAGTGGCATCATAAATCAGGGGCAATGTCAACATTATATCTGTTACACGATTTGTCAGCAAAACTTTGGAGTGTATAGAGATTAGACCTTAGAAGACTACAAAACCTTATGCACTACTTTAAAGGACTGATAGGATTATGCAACAAAAAGACCTTATAAATAATGGGCTCAGATGAAATAAATAACCACTCTGAAGAATTTCTCTGTCAAAAGAGAAACAGGGGAATGCAAATAAGAGATGCACGAGATTGCTTGTGGACAGCCATCTGAAGAAAAGTGGAAGGGGAGGGGAAACTGTTGGTTTAGGACATTGTGCTTATTTTTTATGCATGCATGTTTGTCTCAAGTATAGTACTAAATGAATAAGGGCACATTTATTAAAAGAATGCATATTTCTGATTACATATGTTAAATTGCTTTATTCTTTAAACACTTTCAGAATTGAACTGCACACTAACTTAGGTTCAGGGTGATTCTGTTTTAGCAAGTTTTTCTAACTAAGTATTCTTTTGTGTGATACTGCTCCATGAAAGAAGGCATATAGGCAAATCCCACTTCTTCATCCAGTGGGTTTTGGTTGGAACCAGTACTGTCTTACTACCATTCAACAGGAACAGAGATCTTCAGAGCCCCCACAAAAATGTGCACTGCTTACTATAAAGCCTGGCTCTGCAGCTGCTCACTGCATGCTGTCTCACAGTGGCTGGATGGGTCATGGTCTGATAGATTCACTAACCATTTCCATATTATGGAAGTATGGGAATAAGCACTGTGGCAGCTACTCCATTCCTATGTATACACTATCAGCTAAAGAATAGCTGCAATGCTACTCTGTAGCTGGTAGATTACAAAGAGGATTCTTTTCTCCCTGTCTCTAGGGATTTCGATAGTGCTGAGCCCAGTTACACGAGATGTTGTTGGAGGCTTTTTACCCCTCAGTGCAGAATTGTATATTTTAGGACATCTGTGCAAACACCATTCATTAGAACAAACAATAGCTCAGACCCTCAGCTGGTGTAAGGTATAGCTCCATTGACTTAAGAGAAGTTAGGCTGTTTTATGCTAGCCAGTTATTTTTAATAGTTGTAGGTCATGGCTCTGGATCACCAGTAATATAAGCGTGTCATTTAAAGGAAGCATATGGTGAAAGAGTAATGAACAAAATATGTGTTTCCCCTTTTTTGGAAAGGCTTGAGTTATTTCACACAACTTTTTTAGGAGAAAATGTGATTAAAGAATGATGTGAGTTATTACACAGTTCTTACTTGATGCCTCTATAAACTTGGAGTAGGTATCATAGGTGATTACAGGAATTGGCAGATCTCTGAAATACAGCTTCAGTGCTCCAGCAATAATGTTTATGTCTGGATATATACTGGCAGAGATATCAGCCTTGTCACCATCTGGAAGAGAACCATTGTTAAAACAGAATAATTTTTACTTTAGCAAGGGTAGGCCTTTAAAAAACAGATTAAGATTTACGCCTTCCAACCTGACCAAAAGTTAAAAAAAACCACCCTGAAAACTTTTGGATCATTTTAATAAGAACATACTGCCAACTCTCCTGTGTATTAATGAAAAGCAAGTCTTTCCAACTTTCAGAAGGTGTTGATTGTTCACATCTTCAGTATAAGCTAGTGAATGTATTAACAATAACTGCAATGCATCAACCCATTTATATGTTCAGTACTGACTGAAAGACCCCAAGAAATATTTTTTATTGGATTTAGCCTATTTAAATATTGAAAATAAAATAGTACTTCATTTTTATGTAGCTCTTTAAATTCACAGATCTTAAAATACTTGGTAACTGTTGCAAGCATCATTTTGCATGTGGTGAAACTGAGGCCCAAAAGTGATATGCCCAAGGTTACCAAACAGACTAGTAGCAGAATTCAGAACAGAACTTGCTTCTCCAAATTTCTGTGCTAGTGTTTCATCAACTTGGCCACAGTCTTAAGCAAGTCACAAAAGCCTCTTGTTTTTCAGAAATTCTGTAACATCTCTCTCTATTTCAAATTGAACGATTTCTTAACATCAAATATCTGAATTTAAGTACTCCTGCTCTGACAGTGTCTCTTAAATGACTAAATGACCAAATGTAACCCAAATGACAAAAAATTACATATTTCAACAGAAAAATTCCAAATTCCTTTTCAGAGAATTTTAAATAATTTTGCTTAAAATCTGCAATTATTACAAGTAACTATAATCCACTTAAATCTCTGAAGGAAGTCAAAACAATAAATTGTCAGCATAGTTGAATTAAAATTTGTTTTCAAATTCAAATGACTATTTGCAGAAATTTTTCTACTGTGTACTCTAATTCTTGTTTGTTCTGAAGGCCACCATTTCTGCTGTGCCTACATCAGAGGTTAGCAACCTATAGTCCGCAGGCTAGACCTGGCCTGTGAAGCCATTGGATCTGGTCCATTTATCTGGGGCTTCAGTAGCAGGGGGCTCTGTCTGCCCCACAGTGCAGCTGTGTAATGGGAAGGTTCATCTGTGCTGTGCCACAGCCAGGCAGCAGGGAGAAGCAGTAGCTGGCTGGGACAGGCAGGCAGCGTGTCCTAGTGCCATTTCTCTTTCAATCTGAACATTGCTGACCACTGGCTATATAAATCTCATCTGCTTCTCACCTACTAAAGAGGAGGAGATTAGGACTAGCTCATGGGCTTCAAGTAGCACTTTTCCTTTTCAGGCCACATCCTTGTCACATTAATTGACACATCTTTGTCACATTCATTAACACTATTTGTATGTGTATAACTTCCCCTCTCTAACCTTCATGTCCACATTTTTCCAGTCTAAAAATTCTTAGATACTCTAACTCTTTCCCCTACACCCACAAATGACATGCTTACCCTTTATTTGCACCAGCCTCAATGAATGTATGGCATACTCACTCTTAAGAGAGGAAAATCACATTGGTTGGGGTGCTGGCTAGCATTTTGAGAGGACTGACCTAATTCCTGGCTCCACAACAAGCTTCATATGTGGCCTGGAGTAAGTCTCTTATTCTCTTTATTATCAGCTGCAAATAAGTAAACTGATGATGATCTCACTTTCCTACTTCACAGGGGTGTTGTGAATTTAAATAATTAAAATAGTGTAATGCAGGATCCTACTGTAATGGGAAGCATGTAGCCCCTTTGGTAGATAAGTGCTTGAGGTATGGTTTCTAAGGTGGGGACAACAAAAGCTTCTTGAAGGGTAACATACTGTTGAAAAGGTTTCAATTTATATTCTCACTGCAGGACAAAACTATTTATGTTGATTCTTAAGGTCCTGTACAAACCTATGGCATTCATCTCAAAGGGATACTCATTAAGATTAATAGGAGCAACATGTATGCTCATCAAGAGGAAATTATATGCTAACGACTTTAAAACAAGCAGCCTTTTTTAATACATCCATCATCACTAGTTGAATACAGTTATCAATGCTCCTCAGAGAGTGTTTACTCTGCCCCAATCTTTTGTTTATCTGCACTACTAGGCATGGTAGCTTTACATTATAAAGCACTGTTTTGGACAGCTCTATTTAATTGCTGTACACTGAGCACTAAAAATGCTACATTGAAAAATAGATGCTTTCAAGATGACAGCAGCTGCATCAAAATAGATAGGCAAAGCAGAATGTTGCTTCAATTATCCAGGTCACTAGTACACTAAAAGGAAGTGTTATTTATTTAGCACTTTTTAGAGAGTAGTATAGCAAACATCCTTAAAGTGGCACTTCAGCTATAGTAAATGCCACACAAGCATGCATTTTACTTATCTCTTTGCTTAAAGCTCACTGAAGGAAAACATATTAATCCACAAATCACAAAGCTGTTGCCAAAGGTTGCAACACTTCAGAAACAAATGTATGTCTATTGAAAATACATCCAGAGAAGATTTTGAAAATATAAAGGCATAACATTAAAAATAGATATTTAGTGGTCATTTTAAAGCCAGTACAGCAGACTACATTTATTTTCTCTTATTTCAGGTTCACTAGATTTCTATTTTTATTAATTTTTTAAAGTTAAAAAGCACCCAAAAGCACCAAAGATGAAGCTTTAAGTCATCACAAACGAAGTCAAGGGCCCAAATAGAAACCAGAAAAGCTTCTTCTCTATTACATTAGGGTAATACAGAAAAGTCCCCTTTTAAATAAACTGAATTTCTATAGTTGTCCATACTTTGTAACAAAATAAAATGGCATACAGCATAGCTAGCATGTATACACATCAGTTGTCTGATGTCAATATGAAAAGCTTTTGTTTAGTATTTTGTAAACATTCAATTAGGCTTTTTCGAATAACACAACTTATATTTTCCTACTCTTTCTTCCACCCAACAATTCTTTCCTTGTTCCTTGACCCTCCCACTTTGTTATGTTATGTCTAAGAGTGGCCTCTTCTCTTCAAGTCAAGGACTATGTCTTTTCTATGCTGTACAAAGGGCCTAATACACTTTAGGTACAATACAAATAATAATGTATTGGGAAAAGAATTGGAATCAATATTGTTTTCTGGCTATGCACATTCAATATTGAATTATTAATATTATTGAATTCAATATCAACTTCTACCAAGACATTTTTTCCCATGATGTCCATTTCTTACTGGGCCAAATCCAATGGTAGTGACTTTTGGACAAGCTAAGGATGTCAGGATTTGTCCCTTTCTGATTTTTACCGGATCTGTAATTTGCCAGGATTTTAGAAACACCAGTGCACCATTGATATCAATATTAATAAAAGTTTTAGAAGGTACAAAGTACATAACAGCATAACAATTTAGAAATAAAAGATATCAACCAATAAGATAAACAACAGCAAATAATAAAAGGACAGAGTACATTTACTACAATGGCAACTCTGTAGATAAATGACACAATGACTGTTTTCTATGCTATGAGAATGCAGCAGATCAACAACAGCACAGAGAGCAACTGTTGCTCTATAGCACCAACATTCATTCGGTTAAATAAATCCACATTATTCCTTTCATTCTCATTAAGAAATCAGTAAAATAGAACATTGTCACAGTCCCAGTGAGCCTAATTCTTATATACACTATGGCCATTTACATCATTTTGGCAGTGAAAAGGGATCTTAGAAAAAAATAAGAATTTCTTCCATTTAAAAAAAAAAATCTCTCAACTTCATCCTCATTTATTAGGTTGAAAAATATATCTTGAGATAATATTCTCTTCCAGTTACACCAATTTCATATTTCAGCTCTTCTATTTATATAGTGTTAGTTTTATGAAATGTTACTGTCTCTTAAAAAAATCTAGGACAATCAGTTATGAAAAGAACCATAATATGGCTTCATTATATCACACAACTACCGTTGAAGTCATTCAACATAGGCAGGTTTATTAAGGTGACAGAGTTTGGCCTACAATATTAGTCAAAACTTTGAACTTCCTTTTGTTTCTCAGGGCCTGATGAAGAGGGTATAAGTTTCAGAATTTGTAATGACTTCACTTCCTTTTAGGCTGTTGTTTCAGGTACTGTATGCTGAGTACCAAAACCGAAAGGGATCCAGCAGTGTAAAATTAACGTGGCTGTTTATTAAGAGAATTATTAGCAGTGGTGCTGCAGCTGTAGCCAGCTTTCTAGCCACGTGCTCACAGACTGAGTTAGAAACATAGAACTGAAAAGAACCTCCTGGGTACATCCAGATGAGTGTGGCTATGCGGTATGTGGTGCCACAAACATGTCTGCAGCGCCACATACTGCACACTGAGGTATACTCTGTGCTCCAAGGGCACACACTGCCTGTGCGTGCACTGCTCCATTTTTTTTACCTGCTGGTTTTTTTGACCCCTGGCACGAGCACCATGTCTGTAGCTCCGGGAGGCCCCCAGGACCCCAGGTAAGGCTGCTGGGGCCAGCGCAGTGCTGGCCCCAGCCTCCCCTACTGCCCCCAGGATAACTTGCCATGCGTCAAAGCATGCGTGGTATGGTTATTCTCTAGGGAAAAGTAGACGTGGTGCAAGGTGTGCCGCAGCTACTTGTCCCCAGGGATTCAAACATCCACGTTTGTCTGGATGCTGCCCCTGTTTCCAACCCCCAGCTCTCACTAGCTACCATCATATAATGCCTTTCATACAGTGATCAACCTCCACTTTAAAACTAGTTAAGGTCAATTGCTCCTTTTATGCCAACTGGAAGTCTACTCCAGAAGTTCACTCTGGTTGGTTAGAAACTTTCAATTTTAACCTGAATGTATTCATAACAGCTTATATGCATTTATTTTTGGTACCAATCTTGTCCTTAAGTTGTTCTTTTTTCCTCCCTGGTACATAATTCTCTTTACATCAGTGTATTTATAAAGAACAATCACATGCTCTCAGCCTTTGCTTTGCTAGGCTAAACAATCCAAGCTTTTTTAGTCTCCTCTTGGAAGACAGGTGCTC